AAAAAATGGATCTAAAGCTACTCTGCCTTCTCCAGAGACACAATAGTTCTTCTGGTAATGGATTCAGAAGATCTTTGAAGATCATGCTTCTGACAATCATGGTTAATTTTGCAGTTGGAGGACATAGCAGCATGCCTAGAGATTGAACTATAATTCCCAGAGTACTTCTCTAAGAGGATTCTGGGAAGTGTGGCAGAAGCATGCTTTTGACAATTGTGGTTAACTTTAAAGGGCCTGGTAGATGACATAAAGTTTAAACTACATTTCCCAGAGTGCATCTCTGGGAAGATTCTGGGAAGTGTGGCATTAGCAGCAATGGTCCCTCGGAGGAAGGAAGGCCCAACTTCCCAGGGAAGTTTGAAGTTTTCTGGTTTCTGCTGATTATTGAGGCTTGTGACAGCACTCCCAACAGAATTCAGAGTGAGTACAGCAGGACAGAAACCTGTTCAGGTTCTAAGTGCAGGAGTGTTTTGCAGGGACGCATAATCAGAACTTAAAAAAAACCCAACTCTGTTACAGCATTTTGCGATTTTAGCTTTGTCCCCCTTCCTTCTTGCAGAAACCAAAGAATGGCCACAGTTTTGCATCATAACTTGTGGAACTATCTTATTAACTACAGCTAATAATTTTCTGATACTTTTTGAAGAGTCATTTAAAAACGGAATTTGCTAACTTCTCGGCATTGTGTCTGAATTATTTTTTAATTAAGAGAGGAAAAATTAGTTTTTAGAAAGTAAACCATAAAGCTGGTCAGTGAGACCTTCAAACCTATATCCCAATGGTCCCTCAGTTTTGCGTATTTCCCATCCCATTCTGCTCCACAGTAATGAAAAGACTCTGAAAAGGGCTCTCTCAAACACTATCGAAGCTGGCCTCTTGGTGAAAGTAACCGCAGGGATTCAAGATGGGCCTTTTTGCCATGCTGTAGTGCTTTATAAATTAATCTTTCTTCTATTAAGATGAACAGGATGAGAAATGTGTGAATCATTCATTACGGGGGGTTGAGAGAAATTGTTAATCATAAAGGACTTGCCTCATCATTTAATAGTTTTCAGTAAAAATAACATTACCTTTCATCTCTATCAGTCATTGTACTTTTTAAAAACATAAATAATAAATGAATGTTGCAAAATACTTTCCCATGTATTTCTTATCAAAACATAAGCTTTGGAGCCAGATATCCCTGGGTTTGACTCTGTTGCTCCCTATATTGTGACCTCAGATTGATTAACTTCTCAAAGCTTTATCTTTCTGTAAAATGGGATAAATTCATTCATTCATTCATGCATGCATATTGTGTTTTACACTGTGATAGGGACTGTGCTAGACGCTGTAGATAGGAAAGATGCTATCCTAACCTTTAAGGATTTTACAGTCTAACAGATCTGAGAATTAGGTATTTAGATCCTGACATAGTTGTAATACTCTTTAGATCCATATTCTCTCTTTCCTTTCCTTATGAGAAGTGATACAGAAACTAAGTTCTGACAAGTTAGGTGACAGCCCCAGATCAAATTCAGTCAGTGGGAGAGACGAGAATAAAAGTACCTGAAGTCTCTCCAATGCTTACTTCTCTGACCCTTCCTTGCACTGTAAACAAAATAAAAGGCCTGCCTGAGCTTGTCATATTAAGTAAAATAATGGTGCTAGTATTTTCTGCCAGATTTACTTTATGAATAGCGAACTTTTATCCTCAGTGTGATATCAGGCATAAAATACAATAATAGTTGCCAATTCAAACAAAAAAAACTATTCTGTTTGTAATGTGGCATTTGAGTGGCTAGCTGAATGTGAGTATAGTAGCATGTTTTACTAGTTGTTTACCAGCATGTTTATGAAATCTGAACCTTTGGGCCAATACATTTTGAATAATGCATCATACTGAAGACCCCCCAAAGACTGAAAAATCACAAACCATTTCAGAAAAAAAGTAGCAGATTTCTCTAGTGCTGATTTCCTGCACTAGATTTCTAAATAGTATAGGGAAGTAAGAAATTATATTTTCATTCTAAAAGTAATCCCACACATCCTAATGACTTAAAAGAACCTCTTTTTTTGTACTGAGGTTCAATCTGAATGACTGCTTTAAAGAGAAAAGCAATAAATATAGCAGTTGGTTTGTATAATGCGTTGTGGTGATCACATTGTGGAGAATACTGTAAATGTACTATAATATTTTAAAAATTAGAATGGTCAAAAGTAGAGTAAAATTACAATAAGTCAGCAAGGGACAGCAGACATTTTACAAAAAGAACAAGGACTATTAAATCTGAAAATGCTTTCAATCTCTACAGTGATCAAAGAAATATAAAAGTTTTTTTTTAAACTAAATACTATGGTTTTGGTTTATAATCTTGTAAGTGCAGTAATGTGTGGAAAGAGCCATATGATTTTAAAATAAATTTTGTCCTGACAATTCTACTTTGGGGAACTCATCTTAAAGAAGGAACTTGAAAATATCAGCACAGGTATTTAGGTGGTATTTTATTTCTGGTAAAATCAGAGCAAACTAAATGTCTAAAATCAAGAGAATGTTTAGCAAAATCAGGATGAGTCTGCTTGAATGTAATATTATGTACCCCCCAAAATTACAAAGATTCTATAAAAACAGAAAATTGCTTATAATATTTTTCATAAAAGCAAGCTGAAAAATTGTGTCCTCTGATTATAATTATGTAAAAGTTGTATCTGTAAAAAGACTAGGAAATACATACTAAATTATAAGATATATTTATGTGGTGATATTATGAGTATCCTCACAATTCTGTTTTCCAAATGTCCTGTAATGTAGTTAATTTTATAATTTAAATGATCTATTTGAGGAAAAATACAGTTAAAGCTGAATTTTAAGGAAATCATTTTCTCTTCTTTGACTTTAAAATAGTCTCTATATTGTTTTTATATAAGAGGTATATAAAAATATATAAGGGACTACTTAGAAAAGGAATTAGACTTACTCATTATTTACCAGGCTATGACTGTACCAATAAAGGTGCAATTCTCAGTTAAAATAAGTCTGAGTTTCCTCTTAATTACTGATATTTTTTCAAAGCTACATCAAGAAATTTACTATGTTTTCTACAAACTCTGAGACCATCCCATAGGTTGGCAGCTCAATGGGTGAGGTTAATTTAGTAGCAAAAACCAGGCCAAACATCGGGCAGCTAAGTGCAGTGGGCCACACAGGTTAGTTGGTAGTCATACCTATAACCAGATAGCCCTTACAGTTCTTAGGATTCAAGGAGCTCACCAAAGCAATTCCTTTGGCTCCCAGGAAATGTAACAAGGTGTTACTGGGAACAATGGCCTGGAAATAGCCTCATTGTACAATTAGTCCCAGGAACTACTATTATAGTTTATTTTATTGTAAAAGGAGTATGTATACATGGTTAAATTTTTTTTAAAGTGCAGAAATGTATAAACTAAAAATTACAGGTGCCTTTTTTAACCACTGTCTCTATCCCACTCTCCCAAATAGTCACTGTTAACAGTTTGGCATGTGTACTTCTAGTCACTTTAAAAATATAAATACCTATCTAATTTATATATTCTGGTGTGTGTGTGTGTGTGTGTGTGTGTGTGTGTGTGTGTGTGTTCACTATAAAAATATATATACCTCTCTATTATATATATTGTGGTGTGTGTGTGTGTGTGTGTGTGTGTGTGTGTGTGTGTGTGTGTATGTATATCTCCTTTTCTTTATAAATTAATTAGATCATGCTAAACCAACCAAATGTTACTTGCTTTTCTTATGTAATATATTCTGAATATCTTTCCCTCTTACTACATATATATTTTTCTACTGTTACTTATATTTATTTTTAACAGCTATGTATTATTCCCTTTTATCATAATTTTCAGTTAACATTCCTGTACATATCCTTTCCTTCTTAGGATAAATTCCCAGAAGTGGAATTTCTAGGTGAAAAGAAATGTTTATTTAACATTTTGATAGATGTTCCCAAATTGCCCTCCAAAAGTATTGTACTGATTTACGTTCTCAGAGCTGTATATGAGACATAAACATTGACTTTAAATACATTTCTTTCTGCCTATCACACAAGTCTTTGTGTTATTAAAATAGTGATTATACTTTTAATACCCTCCTGGAATGCTTTGTAACCCACGTATCACATATCGCCTTCCGTGAAAGTTGTTTATTTATTTTCTCTCTCCTGCTGGAGTCCCTTGTGGGCAGGATTTTCATCCTGTACATTTTTGTATTCCTTAAGGGCCCTTGAATAAAGTTAGTACTCAGTAAATACTTTTTTGAACGTCATTTGCTAAATATAATTTACCCTTGGCTAGGACAAAGGTAGCAAAAACTGTCCAAGGATTAGTCACTGGTGTTTCAAAATTATGCAACCAAGAAGTAGGCCTAAACTTTAGATGTTCCTCAGTGTTTTAGTATCAAAGCTTGGTATCCTTGGGCTCAGTTAAAAGGGTGGTTAGTTATTTAACTGTATTGATTTTTTTTTGTTTCAGTAGAACCTCTTGACTTTTTTATTAATATGAAATATAATTTTCATAGGAAATAAAATATTGATATATAATTTAAAAGGAATCTGTCTGCACAATGTATTCTTAAGATAGAGCAATTTTTTCCTCTCACAATGAGATGCAAAAAATAGAAAATATCTTAGATCCATGTAGATTTACAGAGCTACCTTTTGAAATATTTTCCGAATAGCCATGATTTTATATTTTTCTTATCTACAAGATTCCTCCTACTTCACATTCAGAAGGACTTTGGTTTCATGTATTCTGAGAAACTTGGCTGCATTACTCTGGAGATACTCCCAGGCTTACTTGGTCTGTTAGAGTAATGCTAGCTGCTGTAACAAACTTTGAAATTTCAGTGGCTTCATATGGTAGAAGTTTCTCACTCACAAATTATCTTTGGTTGGCGGGTAGCATTTCTACATGTAATGGTTTAAGGATCCGGGCTTCTCCATCTAACGGCTCTGCCATTCCAGAGTCTTCCAAGCAGAAGGGGAAAAGAGGATGGAAAATGTTTATCCACTTCTTAACTGCTTCAACCTAGAAGAGGTACACATCACTCCACTTACATTCCATTGCTAAGATTTAGTTTTGGCCCTACTTAGACACAAAGGAAGAGAGAAATGTAGGTCTTGGCTTGGCAACTACCTCCCAGCAACAATTCCACAAAATGGAAGGACAAACACATATTTCTTGGGGATCGTTAGCTGATTCTCAAAACACATTAAGTAGGCAGAGCAGCTTTTAATTTTGTAGATTAGGAAAGAAAAGTTAAATTCCCACTGCTGGTTAGTGGAAGAAATTGAAAAGTTAAAATCCCACTGCTGGTTAGTGGAAGAAATACAATTTAGAAGCCAGATCATCTGATTCCCATTCAATTTGTCTTTCCTTAAAAGTAATCTTTTTCTGGCTTAAAGGATAACTCTCTTGGTGATTCATTACTTTAAATTGGCTACTATAATTTATTTTAACTCCTTTTTCTTCTAAGGAACTGAGAATGTCTCTGTATTGTGGAATTGCTTGCAGGAGAAAATCTTTTTGGTGCTATAGGCTGCTGTCAACCTACGTCACTAAGACCCGGTGAGTTTTAACCAAACTGAACTCTGATTATTCTATCTTTGGCCCATTAAATTATAAAAATCTCAAAATCCTATATTGAGGATTAAGGTTGTATGATTACATATAAGGATATTCATTGAATATTATAATTGGAAAAATTCTAAACAAACTAAATCTCCAATATCTAAAATATCTGACATACTTAAATATAATTTCTATGAAGATAGGAACTTTATTTTTTGCACTATGGTACTCTTAGTGCAAAAAACAGTACCTGGACATAGTAGGCGCCAAAGTATTGTTAATAAAGGACTTCTTTGTCTCAGTCTGGGCATATTTGAAATATGTGAATTTGAAATCACACAGTTTTGGGGTTTATATTTGTACTATCTATATGGTATGGCCCCAAAACCCCCTACCTAAGAAAATAATTTAAGTAGTAGTCCTAGACTTATAATACTCCTGGGGCCCCTTGGAGAAGCAAATGTAAAACTCCTCTGGAGGGATACATTCACAACTAGGGCTTCCCATGTGGAAAGCTCTGCCAAACATGAGTGCCTAGTTCAAAATTTAAAGGCACATAAGTGTATAATCTAATATGAGAAAGAGCGAGAACACAACACAATTGCAGTACTTGTTTTAGATATTGTTGGGCATTTAGGTTATTTGCAGTTCTTGGGCTGAGACTCTGAGAATAATAACAGAATTATTAGTCTAAAAGATGAGTATGTTGAAATGATTAAATATATTTAAAAATGAATCAAAATCATGAGAAACGAATAAAATTCTATCGATAAGAAATATGGTGTGAAAAAATGTTAATCTGTTTAAGAAAAAAAGGCTACAAATTAGTAGATATGATTCTGAGTAGACCTATAAATGTATAGATGCATAATACTGATAGTTTGGAGAATTCCAAGGTGTAAACAGTGATCATCTCTGAGCTGTGAGATTCTTGGTTTTCCTTTTTTGAAAAATTGATTGCTGTATTTTCTGATTTTTATAGACTTATTTTTTACTTTTATAATAATAAAAAAAAAGTTTAAGTTTGATCTTAGTTTTATGGTTTCCATGCTATTACAACTAAAGGGGAAAGTGAATTTTTTAAAAATGTGTTTCTGATCAAGAAGAATATAAGAAACTGTTTGGATCTCAGTTCCAGTTCCAGAGAGTCCCCAAGTTTAAGACCTTAACCTGGGTGTTTTGCTTTTTAGGGTCATTAGGGCAAAGTACAGGTTGTACCACTCTTTTCGTTCTTTTACGAAGGCAACTGTGTTTGTTCTATTGTTTATTTTTGGTAGCTTCTGAGTGGCACATGTCTCTCCTTTGACATACACTGAGTCTTTGCCCCAGGAGGCTGTAGTCACTCATAAGTTTAAAAATATCACAAGTATGAATATGTCAGGTTTCTTTTGTCTTGTGTTTATAAAGAGATCATTGTAACCCCTTTCATCACAGTCAAAAATAGGTTCCTAAAGATGCTGCTATGGTGTATTTATTATTTTGCTTTGTAATATTATGTTGTTAGTTCTACCTACTGGTGTTACAAAAAAAGCTCGCTAGTCCTACAGAAAATATCTGTAAACTGTGTTTCCTATCTAAGTGACAAAATATGCCATATACCCAAGAGTGTTTCAAGGCTTTCAACAGGCAAAAACGGTTATCCCTAAGGCCCCAGAAGGAGAATCCACAGCCAGTCCCCACTGAATCATGTGGACCCTGACCTGATTCCCAAGGCTCTTGAAATGATAGACTTAGGCCATCCTTAATGAAAGTACCAGGAAAGCCTATAATCTGCCCCAGTACTATTTCTTTTAGATAAGCTAATTATATAATGTTCTCTTTTCTACATTTTTATTTTGGCTACTGAAAATATTACTTATTAAATCATGGCTTCAAGTAATGCCTTCACTTTCTCATCAGTGGTCCCTTTGGTAAGGATGAGGAGCAAATGGTGTCCACCTGGGGGACTAGATGTTTGAAACAAGGGTAGATTGAAGATAAAATTTGCTCTTTATATTCCCTAGATTGAATGAGAGTTACTGAAGATATAGTTTGCTCTTTGTCAGCAGTAATGAAATCTGCTCCCATCTCTGGGTATTCTGTGGTTGATGTTTCATCACTGTACTTGTTTTCCTTTCAATCCACTGCACGTAAATTCTTGCCTCACAGTGTAATGTTGGCAAAGTACCTTGAGGTTCAATTGAGTAAATATTTATTACCCTTAAGGTTCAATTCAATAAATATTTATGGAATTGAGCCATTCAATATGCCAATTACTGGAGATACAGAACTAAGGCAGACCCTGCCCTTAAGGAGATCATAGTCTTTCAGAGGACACAGACAAATGAAGATAGTACATGTGCACCCACAGAAGTATTGGCAAGGTATACTGTAGGACAAAGGAGAGAATGATTGCCTGTAGCCACCTCAAATCCTTTATAGAGCAATTTAGGAAATAATTAAATAAAAGGAAATAACTGTGAGAGGAGAGGGATGCAGGAACAGAATTCTCAAAGATGAATGTTATACAAATAACTAAATATGGTTTTGTAATGTTTTATTTCCCAAAATACAGATATTTATTTGAACTGAAGGAAGATGATGATGCATGTAAGAAAGCCCAGCAGACAGGAGCATTTTACCTCTTTCATAGCCTGGCTCCTTTGCTTCAGAAATCAGAACATCAATATCTGCCCCCCCAGCATAGCCTATTAGGTAAGTCCAAAGTGGACCAGTAGAGTAGACCAGCCTGTGGCCACTTAGCAGAATTCAGTCCATATTGAATCTCTGAGAAGGATCCTCCAACTTTAGAGTCCAGATTTTTCAAACTGCTTCTGCAGATTATTTAGTGTATAAATCTAACATTGTTTGGTGATGGTATGAACCACTACTGCTTTAAACCAGGGGTGGGCAAAACTGCTGTCCAAATTGGAACTTGCTGTGTTCTGTAAATAAATTTTTATTGGAACACAGCCACACTCATTCATTTACAGATTGTCTATAGCTGCTTTTACTATAATGGCAGAGCAGAGTAGTTGTGACAGAGCCTATATGGCTCAAAAGCCTAAAAGATTTTGCCAACCCTGGCCTTAGTCCAGTGATTTCCAGCCTCTGTGGAGTCGAACACTGTTAAACTGGCCAAGATGTACATCATGATTTCATTTCTTCTAGAAAGGTCAAAATTAAAAGGGAATTAAAACTAATTTGACTCAAGAACTCTTTTAGGGTAAATAACTAGAGATACCTAAGCCATTGGGATTTGGCTTTCAAGATTCTAACCTTAGTTTTATGTGATGTCACTATACACTGATTTCTAAATACATTGACAATGAATTTCTTCCGTGAGTCAGATATTGGATAAGTGGTTTCTGGCAGTGCAGAATATAAGCATGCCCACAGTAGGCACTAAACATTTTGAGATTTAGCAATGTTATGTTGTATTATGAGCAAATAAATGTAAGTCTTTCATGCACAGGAGGATAGGTTTTCACTCTATATAGCACTTGTTTTATATAGATTGGGATCTCACTCAGATGAATATTCTACTTTGCCCCCCAAAACAGCATAATCTGGAGACTAAATTATAGTACTGATTTGGTCTCTACCATTTTAATTGTGACACTTTTTCCCCCCAGTGCCATAATAAGTTAACTATCATGTATCTTTTGAACTAGTAATACAATCATAGAGTAATACAGTTTTACATAGAATTGCTTCTTTAAACTCCTCAGATTGCTGATGAGGAAATGGAGGCCTAGAGAGGTTAAGTGGTTAGACCAAGATTATGTAGCTAATTAGCTGCAGGGCAGTGACTGGAAGCCGGTATACCTACTTTAAGCGGAAGTAGATGATTTCCTATAAGTTTAATATAGATTTGGTGGTTTAATTAAAGCCCATGTTTTTCTCTGTTCTCATTTTCTGTTCTTAGAGTTGGAAAGGCTCCTGCGTAAGTTTGGACAGGACACACAAAGAGTAGAAGATTCTGTGCTGATTGGATGCTCTGAACAGCATGAAGCATGGTTTGCTCTGGATCTATGTCTAAATAGCTCCTCTTCCATAAATGGTACATAGCATTATTCCTAATGAGTACTTTCCAGTGGTTCTGACTTAAGGATTTCACATGATGGTAAAATTTCAAAGAAAAGTTTATGAATACAGAAAGGTTATCAACTTTCTAGTTTTTTTAAAGTTAGGACATAAAAAAAAATACTACCATCTAATATTATCATCACTTAAAAGAAAATAAAGGACATTTTAAAGTTTTCTTTCTAAGCTAGGTGGTGGGTACAAAGATGCTTATTGTATTATTCTCTGTACCCTTATACATTTTATCTGTCTTAACTATTTCATAAGAAACATTTTAAAATTCATGACATCATTCTTAGTTCTCTTATCAAACAAGTGAATAAACATTTTACCTTGGAGTAGCTCTGGGTCTTCAGACCTGCATTTGAGAACCAGTTTGCTATAGCCTCATGGCTCCTATTAGGCTTTTCTTCTCTTTCAGGACGTGGGTGCAAACTTAATGCTGGAATGAGGTTCGGATAGCTTAGAGGTGCCATTTCATCCCTTTTCCAGGGATAGTGTATGGCTAGTGCAAATTTTCTTATTGCCCTGAAGAGGATCTTGTGATACAGTACTATGCTGTAATGTTTCCCAAATTTGCCTGAAGAATCACCTGGTGCTTATTAAAAAATGATTTCTGGGCCTCACCCACCTGCTGTTCACAGTCTCCAGGTAGAGGCTTGGGAACTTATGTATTTTTTATTTTCCCTAGTTGAGTATTATTAGGTGATTTGGGAAACACTGTTCTAACAGGATATACTTGAGAGAGGTCCCAAAGCAAAGTTTGACATTTGTTTCATATCTTTTTTTTTTTTCCTTCTAATTTTCTAGCTTCCTTACAGAAACCTGAAATGGAGACGGAGCTCAAGGGATCTTTCATTGACTTGAGAAAGGCTCTCTTTTGGCTGAATGTGAAGGATGCTTCCTTGCTATCCACGGTAGATTCTGATTTCTCAGTTTTGTAGGAAATTTAGTAAAGCAGTACATAAGGGCAAATACATGCATGCATAACAAGGGTAGAGCTACATCTGATTTCTTCTTTGGCAGACTAAAGTCCTTCCTACAAACCTTGGCAGAACGACAATGTGCTGTAGGGAGATTGCTTGTTCTTTCTTTTGCCCTTGTTTTTGACTGGATCGCTGTCAGGACCTTTTTCTCCTAAGGAAATGGCAATGAGATCTATCAGCTTTATAAGTATTTTTAATGACCCATAGCAGGACATATACAGCATCGTATTTTTCTTATGAAAAATTATTTTTTATTGCTTTAATGACTCGTCCTCACAGCCTTACATTTCACTTGCTAAATTGCTTTCGATTGTCTACTTAAAGAAATATCTCTAAACATTTTTTATTTGCAAAAAAAATATATCCAGCTTTATTGGGGAGGAATACATGTTGGGGTGTTCAACTATATTGGAAATGTTTTCTTTTTAAGCTGGGTATTAAGTATATAGGTGTTAATACTTTACATATTATATATATATTTCAAATAATTTGTAATAAATTTAAAAATATGCTTTCTTTTATTCATATGTCAGGTGCTGGAGGAATATGTTCAGATAGTTTCCTTATTTGGATGTTTAAACAATTAATAACCATTTAAAGTAGATGAGCTGGAAAGGAATTAGCATTTCCTTTTGAGTTTCTCTAAATACTAGGTCCAGCACTCTTATAGATGAGCCCTACATTCTCTCCAAATGAAACCATGCCCATCCTTGTATTTCTAGGCTCAGGCGCTCCTCCGTTGGCATGATGCTCATCAGTTCTGCAGCAGAAGTGGGCAGCCCACCAAGAAGAACATGGCAGGCAGCAAGCGTGTGTGCCCTTCCAATAAGATCATCTATTATCCACAGGTAAGTATTGCTTTAAAAGGACAGTAATCCAAGAAAGATGGAAGCCTGTAATTAAAAGGCTTTCCTTAATTATTCATTCCTTCATCCCATTAACAGACCCCCAAAGCCCTAGCGTCTAAGTTTCCATCCCCTTTTCCTAGATGGCTCCTGTGGTGATCACTCTGGTGTCAGATGGGACTCGATGCCTGCTTGCCCGCCAGAGTTCCTTTCCCAAGGGAATGTATTCTGCCTTGGCAGGTTTTTGTGATATAGGTAAGGAGTTTAAGGCATGTACAGATGACACTGGAAGACACAAAAGCTTATCAACGGTAGTTATTTGTCTTGGAGTCTCAAGCACATTCTTCCGTCCCGACAAGAAAATGGCATTATAATTTTCCAATATTTTACAGGAAAACTTTCAAACATACGGCATAGTTGAAAGAACTATACAGTGAAAACCTATACACTCAGTACCTAGATTCTGTAATTTTTTTACATTTACTTTATCACATACCTATCTATCCATTCCTCAGTCTTTTTTGATGCGCAGATTGCAGAAGTTAGTATATTTCTCCCTAAATTGTTCAGCATGCATAATATTAACTAGAATTTAATATTTACTTAAAGGGTTTTTTTCCTATTTATTGGGGTAAAATTTGCAAATGGTGAAATGTGGCATTAGAATTTTATTAAAGCTGAGAGCAGCAGTAACCTCTCCACTGACACTCTTTATTTTGCATTATAACTGACTTTGTAGGTTTAAGAACTATAGTTCAGCACCCAACTCCAGACTTGATTCCTACTGTTGTAGACTCAGAGATTTAGGGCTCCCCCAAGTATTTCATTGACACTTTGGAGCCAGTTCTGTGCTTCTTTCACAAATGGGCATCTGTATCACCCTTCCTACTACAGGGCTGTCCTGAATTAATCTAAGTGCTTGTAGGTGAAAGTCTGGAAGAGGCTGTCCGACGAGAAGTTGCAGAAGAGGTGGGATTGGAGATAGAAAGACTGAAATTCTCTGCATCCCAGCATTGGCCTTTTCCCAATAGCTCCCTCATGATTGCTTGTCATGCAACTGTGAAACCAGGGCAAACAGAGGTAAGTTCTGATGCTTCTCTTATGCTTTGATATTTCCTTTGCCTCATCCAAGCTTGTCAGTAGGTGCTTATTAAGCCCCTGTCTGGTACAGCATTGTCTAGATTATAAAAGGATGTATAAACTATGATTTAAACCCTTAAGGAATTTGCAATCTCATAAAGGAAACAAATAATCACCATAAAAACTGGGAGTGCCAACATGATCACCATTCATCCTTCATATATTTCAGTCATGAGAATTTATCTTTCATCATCAGGACTTAACAGAGCATCTTGTGTAGAGTACGCACACAATAAATATATTAAATTTAATCATTGATTTCAGGATTAAACTTACTGCTCAAGTCAGTTAGGATGTTGTGGATTAGTAATTATGCTTAATAATTATGAATTATATAATAATTACAGGAACTTCTGCTTGAAAGGGACTTGGATATTGTATTATCTAACCTCATCTTCCTCGTCTGTAGCATCCCTGACAGATGATGTGGTCTCTATCTGCCAGTCTGTCTATTGTGTGTTTTGGTTTCTACTGAATGAGTATCTAATCTGTCTCAGCTTCCCAGTTTGTATTACTTTGCTTCTTACAAAGCAGTTACTATAATTTTATCATTAACTTTTATCCTTTGGAGTAACATTTGTATGTTCTTTTTAAATTGAAAGTTATACAACCAATAGAGGCACAAAGAAAAACAAGTATTATTCATTATTTACCCCTCAATTTTAACCACTCTTAATATTTGTAGTATTTGTTAAGTAATACTTAATAAAATAGTATTTGCACTTCCAGAATTTTTTAAATGGGGTTTAAAACTATTTTAAAAATTTATATACTTAACTCTCATCTCTTAATTATGCCGCTTTTGTTTCTGGACAACATATAGAACTGATTATCTCCCAATACTGTGGATCCTGGGTATTATCTTCTAAAATTGTTCAGTTCTGGAGCCATTTTCTCACCTTTGGCCATAGTATCTAAATTTTGTAGTTCCTAACCTTACATTCTGTTTTTCCTTTTCTTTCAGATCCAGGTGAACGTGAGAGAACTAGAAGCAGCTGCCTGGTTCAGTCATGATGAGGTGATCACAGCCCTGAAGAGAAATGATCCATATACTCAGCAACAGAATGAGGCTTTCCCATTCTGGGTGCCCCCCAAGTTAGCCATCGCCAACCAACTGATTAGAGAGTGGGTGGAAAAATCGACCTATTCTTCTCTGCCTGCTTAGCTCAGATCAGGCCATATAGATTCCCTTCTCAGTATCCTGAAGAGGCATATCAGAAATCAGTTGATAACGGGGAAGTGACAAAAGGCCATCTCCAGGCTAACCTCATAATAAGGCAGAAGATAAGCCTACAGCAAACCTCAAGAAGCAGTGTTAAGAAGTTCCTACTCATAGACAATCAAAAGTGCCAGTGTGAGAAGAAAAACTGATGAGATGACAACTGTCAAAATCAGAAGAAAAGCTGAATTGTTAATTTGGATGTAGGCCCTTGTTCACCCATTTTCTTCTAGGCCTTGGAAGCAAACATATTTTGGCATATGGCTTGTTAATAGCGTGTTTATAATAAACTACCAAACTGTGCCTGGTATAGTTTGGTTAAAACTTTTATCTTAGTATTGAAAATATATATAGCAAATCTCAACTCACTGAGTTACTTTTTATTCTCGCAGAATTAAGAAAAATAGCATGACATAACATTTTTGAATTCATGTACAGGTAATTAAGTTGTACCTGGTAGTTAAATAAAAGTCATATTTCTTTAAGTCATCTGAAGGGATGAGGAAAGTGGGAGCTAAGGTCTTCCTCAGAGTACTCTGTAATGAGATGCAATGGTGTTCTATTGAGGTAATTGCATCCCAGTGGGGCCCAAGATGTAAGTCTTTTTTTGCTGTTACTTACTCAATTTGTAACCCAAAGAAAAGATTATCACTTTGCCATTCCTGTTTTCCTAGATATAAAATGGTTGCTGCTATCTGCACATCAGTAAGTGCTGTAACTTCAACTAAGAGATTAGTGAGGATGAACCATTTCTTGAGTTTTAGGTGATAAACTAAATTTAGGATTTCTCATCATTCATAGATGCCATTCTATACCTCGTCACAGGGAAGACAAGGAAGAAATAAAATAAATTTGTATACCTTTGTTCAGATGTATTTTTCTGTCTTATGAAGTAAGGAAATTGCAGAAAGTGAGAATTTGAAGGAGGGAAGGGAGAAAAAGAATCTATTAGTGTGACAAATGTTTAAGTCTAGGTTCCAAGTCTGTGGAACAACTGAAGCAATGTGCAGAAGAAATACTGTTAGAGGTCAGTTTGAAAAGAGGAATGGCCGAGGAAAGAGTTGTATCCTCGGGTGATTTTAGGAACTAACTTGTGATTAAAGACACAAGTGCCAGAGACCCTAAGATTACTCACATATCAAGGTCCCATTAGACTAAGAAAAAGAGATTCTAGAACTAAAAAAGTTGAAGCACCGAATTTCCTTTTGATTCCAAAAGGTCATTGTTCTCACTATTGCCAGTAAACCATCATTGCTTTGAGGGATGTCAAAGTGCCTTCATTAGGAAATGTTGAGGGATATGTGATGGGACTTGATTGTCATGTTACACTGGCAGTTTGCCCTGACCTGAGCTGAACCCAGCATGTAGAAGGGAAAAGCACTCTCGAAAGAGAAGTCCTGAGATTTCTTCATATCTTGCAGTTAGAAGAAAACAGTTCAGGGTCCATGTGTATTACTGTCTCCCAATCTTTTCTATCTCTATGTGGGTGTGTTTGTGAGTACATGTGTACACATCTCCAATCTGAAAATACAGATAGAAAGGGGAGTGTGCGGGATTCCTGGTTATGAGTTTCTCCAATTTACCGTGGACTAACTGTTTGCTTTTGGATTAATGTGTTGTTTTGGAAAAGAAAAGATGAGAGTGGCTAATAGGAGGAGCTACAACATTGAACTTTGTTTCCCAGCAGTGAGTGGGAAGAAGGCTTTGCTTTTTAGAACTGCAAGGCTATCTGAAAGTTGAGGCAAAAGAGGACAGGATTGGGGTAATGAAAATGGCAGATAAATAAAAGAAACATTGGTACATGGCTTACCTGGCTACAGAATATTTATGTGGCAATGAATTATGAAGGTGCTAAAAATAAAAAGAAGCCACTGGGTCCATGAAGTAGAATAGTAAAAACAGGTAAAGTGTGAAAACAAATGTATTTGTCACTAGAGTAAGCCTGGCTCAAGGTCATTCCTGGTAACTGGAATAAAAAAGCAACTCATTCATTCCTTATTTTTGACTACCTTCTTTTTCTCTACCCAACATTTAATCCTCAATTAAAAAAAAACCTTAATGCTCCAAACATAGAGTGTGTAAATCTCATTTTGGGAGCTTGATCCTCTCTTGCTGACTTCAAATCCTTGTATGTACCCCTTGGAGATCACAAAGATTTTTGCAGAAAGGGCAGCATTTGCATGTCATAGAGAAAGCAATCTGTGAAACTTGTAACGAAGAAACATTTTTACTAATGAGTACTCTAAATCAGAAATGAGCACAATCAGACTCAATATTTATTTAAGAACGAGAAAAGGGAGGCCAGGTTTGCTGATTAACCTTTAGCTGGCTTACTTGCGGGTCTGTGATCGGTGTTGTCAGGCAGCTGCACTCCCATGCTTTGTAAAAGATTGGAAGCAGGTCCTGCCAGTCCAGCTTGGGAACTATATGATTCCAATATATTTGAAACCAGGTTCAGGTCTACATCTACTGGTGTCATGACAGATCCTCCTGCACCAGAATCTTCCTCATCTGAATTGCTATTGGTAGTCTGGGATAGAGGTTCCTTATTCATTTAGGGAAAAAGAAAATCGTGGGATAATATGCCATTAGGTTGGATAGTAGTTACAATAAAAAACTAAGCAACAAGGTAAAACTGAGTTCCAAATTAAAAAGGAAATTTATCCTTGACAGAAAGTAAAATTGGAGTCTAATAAACTCTTTAACACACATAAAAATTCCAAAGATTATAATATACTTCTTTCTAGGCAACATTTCTACAAATTGAATGGATTTCTTCCCTATTGTGAAATAATAGCCCAAGGGAGATAATGAGGGTTAAGGAGGTAAACTTATAAAGAAATAAACTTTATACAGAAATAAACTTTAAAGAAATAAACATAAAAATGAACTTAAAAAAATAATCTAAATTATTCTCTAAATGAAAGAAGCTAAATTTCCTCCTCTTCTCCCCTATTGAAAAGACGTAAAGTAAAAACCTGAAGCTTTTGGGGGTTGAGTCACAAAGACTCTGAATTGTTACTTGAGCCTCTGATTTCATAGGTTTGGGAAAGGATCTGAAAGATTACAGCTTGATCTATAGAGCTTTATATTTTTGCTCCTAAAAGTGTGGTCCGTGGATCAGAAGCATGTCAGTCACTTAGGGGCTTGTTAGAAATATAAAATCTCAGGCCACACCCCAGATATACTTAACCAGTATATATATTTTTACAAGATCTTTAGGTGGTTCATACATTAAAATTTAAGAAACACTGCTTTAGATACATCTACTGTATGGTTTTGATTAGGTTTTGGTAATACTGGAAGTGACTACAGTTTTAAATGTGGTTTTACTGTTGTCTCTCTCGGTTCTCATGTTACGTCTATGACATGAGGTTTACTGGTTAATGGATACATTCACAGTGGATGGCTGAGATGAGATTTCAAACCCTAATCCATGAAACTTCAGAGTCCATTCTCCTTCCATAATTTGTCTAGCATTAGATAGTGCTGGTATAAAAACTAGGATTGAAAACATGAGTGAAAGATGAATTCTAAATTTGGCTCTAAATTAGAGAAACATAGAAAACAAACATTATTAAAACCTGAAAATTATTTAGATATTTAAGATCCTTTTTCTTTAAAAAAAAAATCGATATAAGCTGTTAGTAGTAGTATTCAACTACATACTAATTTCAATATATCACGTGACTTTTTATTTTAAATTCTAGTAGATGACATAGAATACATAATATAACTAAGCTTATGTTTAAGAAAAGTTAATAATCCTTCATCTTACCAGAGTTAGGAAAAATTAACATTCTTATTTATTTCAAATCAAAAAATCAAATTCATCACAAAAAAATTATCACGAATCAAAAAAAAAAAAAACT